TAAATTTATAATAAATAATTTAATTATATAAAAAATATTATTGTTAAACTATAATAATTCAAATTATTTTTAAAAAATGATTGATTATGAATTATTATAAAAATAATTAAAAAGTAAAAATAAAAGAAAGAAATAATATCTTTATCTCTCAAAGAGATAATCATTAAAAATAATTAAAATAGGGATGACAAAGCGGGTTAGCCCGACGGACCAGTCCATCAACCCGTCATAATATGACTGAGTGGGTTAGTACTTTTAGTCTATCAGCCCGTTATGGCCCATCCCGCCAAGCTTGTCAATCCACCAGACCGATCTGCGGTAGGTCGACCACGAACCCGTTTTACTAATAATTTATTTTTTAATTGTGATACAATATAAAGAGTAAGAAATGTAATATATAATATAAATATTTATGAAAAAAGAAGTCTAAAAGTCTCACTATCTCATAAAGAGAATTCATAAAATCTTAGTATCTTACTATTAAGAGAATTAAGAAAGTTTTATAATTACTTAAACTCACATTACTGGAAACAATTTCCTTTCTCAAGCACAAACCTCTTTCTCCTCTCCTCTTACTCATCATCTCTCCTTCTTGCTCATCCTTATTCAAAAATCATATATATCTCATATTTTTTTGTATATTTGTTACTTTCTTAATGTTTCTTTTTTTCTCTTAGTATTTTTTTCTCCCACGACTCATTTATTATATTTTTCTATTTGTGCTTTTGTTGAAATATCTGAATAAGAAAAAATTATGAAGTTTTTTTTTTCATTTTAAATAGGAAATGAATGGTTTAATTAGTAAACCTACTTGTGGTCTTGATGATATCGTCAATGAAAATGAAATTGAGAATGAGGTTAAGTTTCAATATATTGAAAATAAATATAATGAAATTGATTGTTTTGAATTGAAAATGTGACAATTACTCAATGAGATAATAAAGTAAAGTTTTATCAAATAAATAAATATAATGTAATTTTCATTTAAATGTTTAAACTTTTCAATATAAAAAATAAAGATTTAATAAATTTTTACTTGTCACATACATGTATTTATTATTATATAAAATTTATCTTAATTTAATTATTCTAAAATATAATTTATTAAAATAATATTTCAATTTATATTATTAACTTGAAATATATATATATATATATATATATATATATTAAATTATTGACAATGATAATTTTATTATTAAATTTATTGAAAAATTTGATTTAAAAATAATAAAATAAAATAAGAAATATGACGGGTTAGCCGCTGACTCATCCTTTGGTGGGGCGAGTCAAGACCTGTAGCCCGCCATGACTATAGCGGGTTAACCAGCGGCGCCCCACTTTTTGCGGGCAAAAATGGAATGAATTGACCTGTTTTACCATCCCTAATTAAAACTTATAAGAGGAGAGAGAAAGGGAGAAAAGAGAAAGAAATTGAAAAAAAAAGAGAAACATGGAGTGAAGGATAAAAAAAATATATAACTCATTGGTGTATCATTTATAATTATTAAAATAAAAAATTATTATTTTATTTATATAATTGTTGAGTGAAATGTTCATAACTATTATTAATAAGAGAATAAGATATTTATCATTTTTTTATTTATGTAATTATTGGGTGAGATGTTCATAATCTCATTTTATTTATTCTCTTCTATTCTATTTATCTCCAAATTAAGTATTGGTTTTATTTTATATATTTACCTTAGGTTAATCCAATTTTACTTATCTTCAATTACACATTAATTATTTTTTATATTTATTTATTTATACTTACATATCAGTTGTTTTTTATATTTGTTTATTTACTTATCTCCGATTACACACTTATCATCTTTTATATTTATCTATTTATCTTCAACTATGTACTTGATTCTTGTTTGTTAATTTATATTTTTATTATTTAATTATTTTTAAATAATAATATTTATTTATAAAGATTTGATAATGTTACAAATAGATATTGGACTTTGAGATTATAATATTATATCACTTAGAATGATTAAGTTTAAGCTTATTTATTTTGACTAGTCACTATAAATTGAAGTCAAATATTCATAGGATAAAATAAATGGGACATGATGATGCAATTAGAAAATTATTTTTGTAATTAGAATGAGTAATTATAACTTTGAATAATTAAATTTGAGCATATTTATTTTGACTAATAAATACAAATTGAATTTAAATATTCATTATATAGTATAAAATAAATAAGATATGATGATAAAATTGAAAAGTTATTTTTATATATTATAATAATATTATTTTACATAATATTTTTTTTATCTGATCAATAAAGTGATATTATATTTGATATTTTCATGTTAATCATCTTATTAGCACACTTAATATCATAGACAGAATCATAAAATTAATTTTAGGATAACAATTCAAATAAATAAATTTTTAGGGATCATAATTGTGATGTATGTTTTTTTAATATTATAATAAGACTACTGTGCAAGAAAACTTTGTAACGAAGTTTTCTTCATGCACAGTAAATTTTTGTTTTTATATATGCGCGTACTGAAGCGGGGGAGGAGACAGAATAAAAATTTCCTCTCATCCTTCTTCTTCATCTATTGTCTAAATTTTAAGCAACGATACTCTACTCGTGCAGGATCTGGTGAAACGGGAGAGAGCTTGAATTAAGTGGGAAAATTTTGGTAGAAATACCATACCAGGTAAGGGGAAGTTTAATTCATTCAATATACGAAATTGAATTGTTGGGTACTCTGTGAATACCCTGTGAATAAGGAATAGGAGTAGATATATGAATTATTTGAATGTCTGATTATGAAGAATTTTCTGATTTTGGATGCACTATTCATGGTTTGAAAGTTTTTGAAATTCTTAAAATTAAGGATGGATTATATGGTAAAATTGTTGTTTTCAACTTAAATTAGATATAATTCATGTTTAATTTCGATTTGGGACTAGTTTGGTTGTCTAAAACTGAGTAATTTGAAATCTGCCAAAATCTGCAAAATTCGACACTGTTACTGGGCGAAGGAAAAAGAAAGGGATATGGTGGAGATTTTTTAAAAAGATCAAGGGTAAAATAGTCATTTTTCATCCTAGGGACATAAATGTAATTTTCAAAATTGTTCAAGGGTAAAATAGTCATTTTCGGGACATGGAAGGAATTTTCAAAAATGTCAAAGGGAAAAATAGTCATTTAGGGACATACAAGGAATTTTAAGAAAAGATTAAGGACAAAATAGTAATTTAATGATTTCGAAATGATTTCGAAAATAGTTTCGGAAATGATTTCGAAATAATTTCGGAAATGATTTTAGAAAAAAAAAAAAAAAAAAAAAATATATATATATATATATATATATATATATATATATATATATATATATATATATAAAGAGAGAGAATGAAAGTAGTGTGTTGTGACGTGTGTGGGTCAGACTGAGCCTGAGGGCTGATGCCCAGAATTAGTCATGAGACATTATATATTAGCTAGACTAAGCCGGAGGGTTAGTGTCAGAATCAATCAAATACTATTTTTATTGACCCGAATGAGCCGTGAGGACAAGTGGTCCAGAATCCGGCAAATGTGAATGATTTTTGTTATGTTTGAATGGTACCCGGGGTGGTACAGAGTACTTTAGTGTAATAACTATGACAGAGGATTCTGAATGAGGTCCCAGACTTCACTGATTGGTCGGGTTAGGTAGACTACGAGATCAGGTGGTGAGAAGTCGATGGGGGGATGACTGGTGGCGCGCTCGGAGGAGTACTCTAGTATGAGTGATGAAGGGCGCCAGTAATCCTACTCTGTGTGGAGGGTGGTCAGAATGGTACTGCAGGTGCCGATCACAATGTGCCCACAGATGATAGCCTCTGAGTTCGGGCATAGTTAGGGTATACTTCCGGAAGGTGTCTTAGTATGTTGATAATTTCGTAATTGATCATAATATATAATTATTACTTCTATATCTGTTTTATTATATCAAATGATTTAATACTTACCCCTATTTTTCTATGTGGATGGGACTGCGATGATCACTTTTATGTGGGAGTAGATCAGGAGTTGAGAGATGGTGATGTGACTACTGGACAACAGGGATAGTTCAGATGGGATAGCTTTGAGGAGCTACTTTTACATGTATAATATATAAATAAATTATGTTACTATATTTTGAAGTTCAGTTAGTGAACCGAAATTTTAATCTATGTTACAATTACAGTAATATAATGTAAAATAGATGTTGTTATTTACTTGTTTACTATTTTGTGAAGACATCATTATAGTAACGATTTTTAGGGTCGTTACAATAATATATTTCCTTAATAAAAACTTTAAAAATAAAAATTATAGGAATGTATCCCCGCCAATCCCCCTCAAAAAAAACATTAATCCAAAATAAAAATTACATAATCTAAGACAAGACAAAACTAAACCCATAGAAATGACATCATATAAATAATCTATATTTAGGTAAATTATAATTGAAAAAGTGATATTCTATTTAATATTCTCATATTAGATGTCTTAGCATATTTGTTGTCCTCATGAAAAATTCAAAAAATATAAACCACACCATTTTTTTATTTTTTATTTTTGCAAAGGATCAAAATATTGAAGCCCCAAAGACACGGTTAAAAGTCATGCCCTTTAATGGAGTAATGATTTCGTGAATTTAGTTTTCGAGGTGAGCAACATGTGAACCACCAATAAAGATAACTTAATTTATTAATAGTTGTTAAAATTAAAGATTAAATAGGTTGTCGCATAGAAAAAAAATAATATGGCTTTAATATTTACAAATAATTTTTGAGATGAATTTTTTAAAACAATTTTTAAAAACTAGTTGAGATAAAGAACTTGTTTGATAATACTTGTTTGAAAACCATTTGAGGGGGAAAGAGAATAACATCTACGAGGACTTAAAAGTTACGATAAAAGATGAAAAACAATTTTAACATCATTCTGCACCGTACTCGTAAAAAAGTTATGTAATCATTACAATATACATCATCATCGTCATTAATGGAATTTGAACCCAACACCAAAATCACATAATTAAAAGTCATGCACTTTACCATTAAACTAAAACAATTTGATCATCCACTTTACCATTGAACAACTTGATTACATATTAATTAATTAAATCTTTAACATAATAATAAATTATTTAATTTAGTTTTCAAATTGTGTAGTCATTAATAATAACCTAACTTATTAATATTGGTTAAAAATAAAAATTGAATAGGGTGTTTCGTAGAAAAAAAAGAATTTATTATTTAAAAATAATTTCCAGAATTTTTTTGTAAAACAGCTCTTAAAAACAAGTTGAGATAAAAAAAAACTTGTTTGATAATACTAGTTTGGGAAAGAGAATAACATGGATGTGAACAAAAGTTGGATTTTAAAAAAAATAAAAATAATTTCATGATAATGATGAAAGTTGACAATGTAGTGTAATTATTGGTGAATGTGTGAATATTACTAATGGAAACAAAAGAAAGGAAACATATTTTATCAATTTTATTTTTTATTTTTTTTAAAAAGAAAACTATTTTAACAAAAGTAAATACAAGATGTTTTATTTTTTCAAATACTAAAAACTATAATTGTTTTTAAATACAGTAAATAAAAACCCGTCTATTGAGGTTTTGGAAGTAATGTTCCCAAAAGAAGAAAAATAGTTGAAAAGGAGCACAAAGAAGGCAAAAACTAAAATAACGTGTCTATGATGTAACTCCAGATTATGTGCTAGTTGATGTAGAGGTTACACAGCAATCAAGCTCATACTATTCTTATTTCTACTATATTTTCGGTCAAATGTTACATAAACTTCTAAGAAAAAAATAATACAAAACAAAATAATTTGAACTTCACAAATTAAAATTAATTTATACATAAATTAAAAATCAAATTTCGGAGAAGCTACATGAGAGAAATTTCTATGAATTAGTTTGTGTATAAGTTATCTTCAACTTTTTGAAGAAGTTAATTTTTTTTCTTATTTTTCTCTCCTATGTATATATACTCATGGAGATAAGGATGATCTTATGAAAAACAAGATTATAATAATAATCACGATGATAATGGATATGTTAAGGTGAATTATAACCTTTTCCGATGATATCAAAGAAGGAATATGACACTGTAGGAGTATTTTAATATTAATAGATTTTTAATTTCTATTTTTTACGGCTAATAATAATATGTTTTGACATATTTGAATCAAATGATGTGATCCTACTCTAAGATAATCTTCAATTTTATTTTATTTGTCTTGATTTTTGTTCATTAAAATATGTCAATATTCTTTTTATTTTGTTTTCGTTATAATAATATGAGTAAATAAAGTTCTTATATTTTTATTTTCATTAAATATAGAGAATGATAAATATTTTAGAGAGACAACAAACAATTAACCAAACAAGTAGCCAAACAAGTAAAGATTTATATGAGATAAGCTGAAATATTACAACATGTTCAAATAAAAAAAAATGTAAATATAGACAATACTTTATCAAATATGAAAAAAAATTTATAATAAAAAATTATGAAAGTTTAAATTCTATTTTTTCATCCAAATTTTAAATTATTAGTAGTATATGTTTTGTATAAATTTTCTTCTTTTTAGTTATTTATAATTTATGAATAGGTGAAATGATAAGAGAGAAAAAAAGTAAGAGAATTAATAAAATAATAACAATTAAAAGAAAAAAATTAAATAGATAAACTAATAAAATAAAAAATAATTAATGTTTTTATACAGAAAAAAATTTGTGTACTATATATTTTGTGTGAATAATAACAATTTTCTAACTTACATACAACCTAGTGATGCTTCGTTAGAAGTTGTATGTAACTTTTAACCATTTTATTTTGTTTTTTAATTCAATATAGTTAATTTACTACATAGTTTATTTCAAATTTAGATTACAATAAAACTAATTTCGACTTTTGATGATGTGTATCGATTCTCTGAACCACTAACCTGCAAAAATATGGAAATAAAGAGGCTATCATGTCCTTATAAGATAAAAATTAAAAATTATTTTAACGAAAGTTAGAATTTTTAAAAACTACAAGTTATTTTTAAAAATAGTAAATAGACATATCCTTATAAAGAAAAAAAAATGCAAAGAAGTAAATTATACATATTTTATATATCCATCAGATTAAAAACAACGAAATTATACTATGAATTGAATTTCATGATCCTTGCATAAAAAGGAGAAGGTTGCATCAGAAACTTGATCTTTGATTCATGTGAATCTCCACCATTTATTTATCATGCGATACTTCAAAGAGGATCGTAACGTAGTCATTATTACAAACAACAACAAGGCATAGGAGGCACACAACTACCAGACGTAAAACCATATTCACGGCATACAGCGTAGCAACCTGGAAAGCATTGTCCAATGCAGTTATCTGTTATTCCTTTTACTCCTGTTTGTTCCAGACATGTTGCTAGACCTATAATAGTAAAACACAATTGCATTCATCTACTCATTCAGAAAGATTGAACAAATAATGACACCAAACTAACGAGCATAAGTTTGGTTTAACAAAATCATACAAATTCATTATTTTTCATACCTGAAGCACATAAGATTAAGGCGATGCACAGAACTCCTAAGACAAGAGATCGATTCATGCCACTTGCCATTGTGTTGTGATGTTTTGTCTTTCAAAAGATAATTTCTTTTTTTCTCTTTGGTATTCTTGTTTGTTACAATGATGATCCTTATATATACGTATTTTCTGCTCCACGGCAAAAATAAAAAATAATTTTTCTTAGTAGTATTTCTTATAATGACTGTCTTTCTTAATTACTATAATTATTAATAAATATTGATCAAAATTAAACAAAATTAGGTTTAAAATAATGTTTTAAATAAGAGAAATTAGTAAATAATATTTTAAATATAAATATTAAGTTTATTATAAGAGTTACAAATTTAAGCTAACCACTTCTTTTAACCATCTAACGGAGATATTATTTTTTGTTAAATATTTAAAAGCAAATGATATTATATTTATGAAATTTAGAAAAATAATTCATCTAACAGTTTTAATGTCTTTATACACATTTTTTTTACCATATGTCAGGTTTTTAGTAAATAATAAATTTTATAGTTTAATAATTTTGTATTTTGTAGTACTATATTATATTATTTTATATCATTGTTGCAATCCTTTTGAAACTATATTTGAAATCACATGCTTTGATTTAAAAAATAACATTATCTTAAAATCTTTTAAGAAACGGACACTATATACATATATACATAATAATATTAATAAGATAGTTTCATAGCACAAAATCATAGCCAAAGACAAATTCTGAAAAAAAAAAACATCCCCAACAAAGAAAAACCATCCGGCAACGAAGTGAAAGTGTTTTAAATAATTTTTAGTTTCTTAAAATGTTTTTACTTTTTATTTTTATAAATTCCTTTTGTGTACACTTTTAGAATTATTAGTTCTTATAAAATAATTTTATTCATTGTATGTATTTTTTATTTTCATTTATTCAAAATTTTTAGTAACTTTTTTTGGTCTTTAATATTATTCTAAAATAATTAAATATATCATCAATTTTTTAGAATCTTGAAAAAGAAATTCAAAATATCACTTTGTATACACCGATTTTAAAAGATACTAGTTGAAAAGATCATTCCACTTTTCGTATCCAACATATATATATACACAGATTTTAATGAATTCAAGTAATGATATGAATTAAAAATATAAAATTTCAATGTAAGGAAAAAAAAATCTATAAAAGAAATTAAAATGAATGTATCTATATGAGCCAAAGAATTAATTCCATGAACTAAAATGTTTTCATTTGGAATCAAAGAATCTATGCATTTATTCAACTCTGTAACTCATCCCATTTGCTTCCATTGTTATATTTTATTCTATACACAGCCTTCAAAACAAACCAGAGAGTGAAGAAGACCCTCTCACGTGTCACCCATTTTATGTGTGATTTCTGACATTCAGAGGCAAAGTGAATGAATGAAGAAATGGTTACATAAAACTGTTTCTTCTTGGAACCAAAGAAGTCCTTACGTATTTTCCTACTCTAACTCTTTTGATTAAGCAATGTCAAAGATACCATTCTTGTGTAGTTTTTTTACTTTGTTAAATTCAGACTTTTTCATTGTTTTTTTTTTCTTTGTTCATTTGGTTAGTTAGAGGGTACACGACATGGAGATGACGCTGTGTTTTTTTGTACAAAACCTTAGAGAAGATGACACAGGAAGAACCTAAAGAGCGCTGCTTGAAGTAATGATTTACATTTTAAAATAGCATTTAAGGAGAGTAGAGAATATTGCATTGTTTACAAGAATCATAAATAGAGAGGAAATTTCTAACCTTTAAATGAATTGCTTTCAACTATTGTAATATTATTTGATTGTTTATTTATTACATAAATGTGTTCATTAGAATTTTAGAATATAAATTGATCTAGTTTGTTCTCATTAGAGGTATAGAAGTATTTTTTTTTTTTATAAATTGTGTTTTGAACTCTATACAAGAAAGTTAAGATTTTTCGAGATTTAAAATTTATGTGAATTTTATTATGCTATGTGATGAAATGTGGGGTTCTAATTGATAATTAAGATTTTAATTGATGAATAAGGATTGAAGGTTTTTAATTAAGATTTCATGTATTCTAACCTTTAAAATATTGTATGATACAATAGGATATAACACTATTAGTAAATGTGTATTATCCGAGTAAATTATTACCGTGAATCATTTAAAAGAAATATGGTTGGGATTTTGATTGATGAATGAATTCATCACATGATAATAGGTTTATAAGAATTATGACGTAATTTTTTATAACGTTTTTAATTTAATTATATTTTAAAAAATAACTATTTTTTATTAAATTTTAATAAAAGAAAGATATAAGATTAATATATATATATATATATATATATATATATATATATATATATATATGAACTTTATAAGTTTATATTATCTCTATATCAGAAATAATTATTAAAATTGATATTTTTTTAAAAAGTGGTTGATTGATCAATGATACTTGTCTTCTCCTTTGATGCTTGTAAC